AGATAAGGTCTAAAGTTCATGGTCCAGTGAGAGTGGAAAAGTCACTATGGTAAGAAGCACAGTGACTTGAGGTTTAGGCCTTATGTATGCAAGAATACAAGTGGAAAGACAGAGTGAAATGTGCTATGACATTGACTTGTTGGGGTTCAGGGTGGTTTATTGATTGATTGGACTATAGAGAAATCCTCCCAACACTGCAAGGCCCTGGAAAGTTGATAAACCGCTACTTTTGCAACATTATAGCACAGTGCTATGTAGTACTGGGTAAGAAGTCAGCCTGCTGGGGCTAAATTCAGGCTTCATCACTTATAGGTAAATGATCTTGGGCACATTGTTTGATTTCTCTGCATCTCAATTATCTCATTAATAAAATGGAAGAAATTTCTTTATTGGAGTTATGTAAGCTTGGATTCCAATTATGACTCACCATTCACCGGTTATCTAGTAAAGTCATGTAAGTGGGAAAGTATTTCATTTGTATAGGACTTTTAAAACTTTTTCATATTATTTACATTATTTAATGTCATTTCAGCAAGTTATTTTCTGATAAGTGACTCTATTTGCTTCTTTGTTATAAATAGCTACTTTTTATAGTAGCTGGTATATAATGAGCACTCTTAATTATTTTTACTTCTGCAGGTTGAATATCCCTTATGCAAAATGCTTGACACGAAAAGTGTTTCAGACTCCAGACTTCTTTTTGGATTTTGGAATATTTGCACATATTTTACTGGCTTAATATCCCTAATCCATCATGTTGGCTCTCAAAAAATTTAGATTTTGGAGCATTTCAGATTTCTAATTTTGGGATTAAGAATGCTCAACCTGTTAATCCCCATTTACAAATGGATGTGGGTGCAGACAACACTACTAACCACTGGGTGGCAGCAGAGGAAGCCATACTTGAAATCAGTTTTCTTCCTGAAGATTTCTGGTACACTAAGACTAGAGAAGCTTAATCAAATTGGTGCTTAGTTCAAAAAAATAATCTGGCCGATAATTAATTTTGCTTTTCTGGAAATTGCTCTTAGGTTTATCTATTGCTCTTTGATCCAGGGGTCACATTTTATGGATTTTTGCCTCCCCTGCCCCAGCTCAAGCAGCCATCTATCTGCTCCCCTATTCTGCCAGTATCTGTTCTTCCTTGACTAGAGCTAAATTTTGATAGACTCTTTTAGAAGCTAAAATTATGTCTCTACACCTTATGTTTTTGAGTTAGCAAATATCTACATAATCATGAGTTCAGAAGGCCTTTGGTTAGTTGTGGTACGTCAAAGTTTATGGTTTATGTGCTTTCCCTTTGCATAGGTGGTAAAATACACTAGTATTTCTTATTACAAATATAAATGAATATTTTTTAAAGACAGAGTTGGAGATTGAGAACAGAGGGAAGAAACAAGGAGGATGATAGAATTTATAATGCTATATACAATTCAGCTTTGGAAAAGAAAAGAATCTAAATTCAACATACCTAAGCATTGGCTTTATTTAGTTCCTGGGAAAGGGGCAGTTTAGACTGCGGTGGGGAAGTGGAGGAGCTGACAAAGATGAAGTTAAGAAGTCAGCAAGTTTCTATCTGCCAAGCCACAGAATCTGATGTGGTAGCCAAAAGCACTTGGTAGCAAAATATTAGGTAGTATTAGCACATAATTGATTTTAATTATATGTTTCATAATTACACAAATCCACTAAGCTTAAAGGGGAGGAAGTACCATGTTCTAATGGAAAAAATTTACCTAACTGACTGTGGGACAAAAGAATACTCTAGATAAAAACAAAAACAGCAAAACAACTGGGAATTCAAGTCTTTCATTTGAAGTGGATAACATATAATGCACACACAAGGATGTATCCTATGCTTTAAATGTTCATATAGATTCTATGAAGTACTTTGAAGCCATTTAGAAAAAGCAAAGGAAGCCTATTGTCTTTTACCAGAAAGCTATGATGGAAGAGCATGATTAACTTGCTCAAAATATAAACTTCATATGTCATAGTCCAAAAGAGTTTATGAAGAAAGGGCTTCAGAAGCCAATAGAGACAAAGTTTCCTGTTATTAAGGTATATAAGCTACTATTAACCTTCTTTCTGATGATGTATGCTAAAACTTCATACATTGTTTGATTTTGCTCTTAATTGAATATCCTATTGGAGAGTCTTTATTGTGGTATAGTTCCTGCAAACCAATAAACTAATTCTGAGCATGGTATAAAGGGCTGATTTAACTAGCAAGTCCTACTACAGAGAAGTTTCAAAACCTCTCATATAAATAGAGCCATAGAATTTTCAAGCTTGAGGAGAATTTTGAGGATGAAATGGATGAGACTTTCCATATTTGCCATCTTATGTAGCAAAGGGAACTAGAATCCTAATTTCCTTCCATGACACACATATTTTGTTTTTAATGTCTTTCTTGCAATGTACTGAGAATATGGTTAATTGATAAGCTAGAGCAACTTTCCTAGCCCCATGCAAAAAGTACATTAACATTCTTTAAAAGTAGAATGCCCGTATCTGTCTTAGAGAAAGCTCAAAATCAAACTTGGTAATATTTTTCTTCCAGGAGAAGCAATCTGGTCCTACTCACTTCAGAAGGATGTGTACATATTGACCTGTATACCTATAAACATAAATATTAAAGTCATTCAATCTGGAAAAGACCTCGGGAATTTGTTCAGTTCCTTGCCTTCCAGAAGAGAGGGCATCATTATCCTTATTTTACAGGTGAAACAGTGAAAGGCTAAAGAGATGAACTGAGTTGCACAAGGCTAAATTACTAATAAGCAATGATAAGGCAGCACAAGTCATCAGTGCTTACAAAATATGACACTGAACAGCCTTCTGTTGGGGGGAAAGCCTGAAAACATTTTGTTTCCTTAAAAATTCATTTTTACTTGTTTTGTTAAATTGAAGGACCCAGCATTTGACACAAAATAGAATCCTCCATAATTGTATAAAAATAAATTAATAAGAAATTGGTTGAATTTTAGATAATCAAGCTATTTGTTCTCCTTGAAAGTGAATCTTCTAAGTCAAGTTGACCATTGGCAGTTTGGCCCACTGACAGTAAGAGATCATTGTTTTGGCTAAGGAAATGAATAAATGAAAGCCATCAGATTGCTCATTTTAGCCCATGAACCCGTTGCTTCAGTAAACATGAAAAAATCAGACATGAGACACTATACATAAGAAAGAATTATGAACCCCCTGTCTCACTCCTTGGTTTTTATCCAAAATAGCTAAAATTAGCATACTACAGTGATACATGCACACCAATGTTTACAACAGCACAATTCACAGTAGCCAAGTTATGGAACCAGCCCAGGTGCCCATCAACAGATAAATAAAGAAAATGTGGTATATATACACAATGGAGTTTTATTTAGCCACAAAGAAGAATGAAACTATGTCATTTGCTGGTAAAAGGAGGAGACTAGAGAACATGGTTATAAGTGAAATAAACCAGACTCATAAAATCAAAGGACAAATGTTTTCTCTCATATGTGGAAGCTAGCCAGAGAGAGAAAAAAAAGCTCAGAATTAAAAAGAATGTGTGGGGGGACATTTCTCACAAAAATAGAAGGAAAATCAATAGAGTAGATGAAGAGAATCCAGAGGAAGGGAGGTGGGGAGGGCATAGGAATAAGGAAGTACTGGGGGAACAAAATCTACTAAATTTTGTTATGTCCATACATGAACATACTAAAATGAGTCATATATATATATATATATATATATATATATATATATATACTGACAACTATGTGTGTGTGTATATATACACATATGTGTGTATATACCCACATATATATGTACATATATACACGCAATTACAATGTACAAGCTAAAGTAATAATAAGAATAAAAATAATAGGGTGATCAGTAGAGTGAGTAGATGAGGGAGATGGAAGAAGGAAGGGAAAGGGACAGTACTGGGAAATGAGAGTGATCAAATTATCTTGTGTGCATATACAAATATGGCATAATGAATCCCACTACTACGTATAATGCACTAATAAAAATATTAAAAAAGAATCAAGATAAATTAGAAAATTGTCAAATACTAGAAATCACATAGCAAAGGCAGGCAGAGGAGGGACATATTTTCCCCTTTGGGGTTATAGTAATGGATAAACAAGAACAAACAGTAGTCCTGGTTTCCCAAACAGACTTCTAATGCAAGGTGCAATTTGATAAATAAGAGGCACAGATGAGACCCTGTAGTAGAGCACAGAGAGTAAGTTTTCTAGAATAATCCTTGTATGTAGTCTAGGCCATTAAAATGCTCCGAATATGTAGTAAGCTACAAATAACAGTATGATACTAATGATGATACCATAAGGCATCACTTCCTCCTGATTATGGAAGGATGACTGAAGACCTTCTTCACATGTTATTAGTTTAGCAAGGCATTTTATTGTTCTTCCCAATAGGTCAGATATTCAGATTTTAAGAAAGAGGAATAGACAGTAGAAACTTTCTAGATATTATATAAAGGTAGAAGTAGAGAAAGCCAGAAATTAGAGGTAAGGAAAACAATGATAGAAGACACAGAATTTAAAGGGGAAGAGAAAAATTAAAATTTATTAACACTTTATGAAAGGTGCTGCAGTAAACATATTGCTGATGTTATTACATTTAGTCTTCACAATGGCTGCATGAGGTAGCTAACATGTGGAGATGAAAAAAATGCCACTCAGAAATATAAATTTTCACAAATAGCAAATAATGGAAAAAAGAGGCAAATTTTGATGTGACTTAAAATTTCATATTTTTATTAGATCAATATGACACTGTAGGCATTACCAAACCATCAATGAATTTTAAAAAGGGAGAGATGGACACAATTGTCAAACTGATTTCTGAAATAGTATTTTTGGATGAACTTCTACCAACAAATATTAAATGGAGAGAGAAAATGATGAAGAGATTGCATTGAAACTCCATCATCATAAAGTCAAATATCTGTTAAATAACTTGAATTGTTAAAGATGCTATTATCAAGGTTTTAATTCAATGCCTTCTGGTTTGTCTTCATTATCCTCAACCACCCTGTCTCCAAGAAAGCTATAGTGCCCCTGTGAGGTGTCACCCATGCATAGAAGACCAGGTGCTGAAATATCTCTCCAGTCCTGACATGAAGGAATACGAATGTGTCTGACATCTTCACTCCCAGGACAGAAGCCAAATAGTTTCTTTATGCGCTGCCCAATGAGAAGACTGGAGTGCTCCTTTGCGGCTTGTTCAAAAAGCTCTCTCTCATTATGGAGGTGGTTGGTCCAGTAGTAAAGCTGCAGAGAGGTGAGGGGAGAGCAGCACCTTGCCAGACAGCAGGAGACCACGGTAGCAATGGTTGCCAAGGTGATCAAAATCCAGCCCAGCATCTTCATATAATTATTAGGAAGAAAAACAGAAAACATCAATACATCAAATATTCAAGAAACAGCCATGTCAAGAGGGATTCCTACAAAACTGAGAATTTAGATATGGGTAAAAACTTTGTTTTTCTAGTCTCTAATACATTAACAAGAGCTGATCATTGGATGTGGAAATGAATCTGAGAGGATAGGTCAAGTCGTTTCAACTTGGCTTTCAGATTACAAAGGAATTTGACCAGTTAATATGGAATGGATTCTAAAGTACTATTCTTTAAGTCACAGACGCCATAACCCATCAATTAACCTTACATAAGATACATAAACATTGTTCTTTGCTTATAGCTCAACCTTACTTCTCAAATCATCAGGTACAGGCCCATTCATTCCTTGGGAGCTTAATGAATATTTGGTAATGATGGTGATAAAAATAATAGTATGATAGACAATAATGGTAGCCTCCCAAAATGTCTTCAATCATGTGCCAACAAGTATTCATTGATATTTTTTCCTGTATTGCTCTTTCCTCTCTTCTTTTGCAACTAAAGAAGACAGTGAGGAAACTCAAATCTCTAAATTTATTATGGATAGTATAGTCATTGCAGCTTGTAGTACCTTATTATTTTCAAGTGGACTATTTAGTATTTAGTGCATGCTTTTAAAGACCACCATAAATGTTTTCTAGTCTTGGAATAATTTTTTTCTTTTTATTATTATTTTTAATATTTAACAATTGCTTTGTAAATAAATTAAGAAAGACAAGTTCCCCACATTTAGGGAAGCCAACAGTACAACAGTATGCAGCCAGTTTGGGCAATGAAGACCTCTTCTGTATCTTGCCATTTGACTACAAGCCTGGAGTAACTAGGATGGCACAGTGCAAGTTTTAGCCTCTATAGAGGCTAAAAACTACAGTTTTATATTTGTAACAATTTAACCGAATAGAGGCCAGCATAGTGGCAGAAATGTCATCTTAGATGCCCATTAATTCATAAACTATCACTTATTAAGCTCCAGTTTGACTTTCTACCTTTTGCAGCCTGTGGTGTTTGGTAATGGGGACTCAAATGGGGATTTATTCTCCTTACAGTCTTTAGACGCAAAAGGAGAGATTAATAAGCAAGCTGAAAGAGAGCACAATGTGATCGTTTCTGGTATGAGTAAACATGGTACCGAAGGAGCACAATAGAAGAGAATTGAATTCGTTTTAGGGAGAAGAACATCAGGAACACTTACCAGACGAGTGTATTCAGACTTAGAATAAAAGAAGTTCACAAGATGCAAGAAGTTGAGAATCCTTAAGGAAAGAAGACAGGAATATAACAGCCTGAAGAGTTGGGAGAACCACAAGAAACTTGTATTCACAGGTTCATAGGAGTCGTGGAGAAGAAGTCGTGAAGGACTTTGTATGTAATGCCAGGAATTTCGATTTCTGCTTAGGCTGGTAGAAAAAGGACTTTAGGGAGAGGGACCTCACCATCCAACTTACATTTAAAAGATACTTTTGGCATGTGTGTAGAAGATAGACTGAAATGGGTGAAACTAATGTCAGAGGTATTTTACAATGGGACATGGACAAAGAAGGAATTTTAACTTAATATGACCTTATAGTCAACTCAGAAAACTCAAACTGAAAAGCAACATATATTCTTCAAAAGACAATGAAGTTCAAGGTGGTTGCAGAAGGCAACCTGGTGAAATGGAAACAACATGACCTCTGGATATCTTAATCAACCATTTATTAGCTCTGTGAATATCTACAAGTTACATAAACTCTTTGAAATTTAGCAACTCATTTGTAAAACGGGGTTAATATCATCTACCTCTCAATATGATGAGAAAGTGGAGACATGAAATATTTATACAGTACTTTAGATGATAAATATCTAAAAATATATAAGTTTTGTTGTCACGAAAGCAAAACCTACTGGTAATGGTACTTTGAACTGTAAAATGACCTTTTTCATAGTAATCTGTGTATGCATTTTATTTTGACCTTAAGAAAATCTTACCATAATATCTGTATTATATTTTAATTTTTCTTAAGCAAGAACATTTTTTAAAAATCCTACTGATTTTTTGACTTGTCACATAGCTTCACAAGATTCCTCTCTGCCTGACTTTTAGGGCTAGTGTAAAAAAAAAACAAATTGAGACAAAGCATAACCTATTGGGATTTTTAACTTTTCTTAAACATATTGCAACACTTCAGTATTGTCTGTTTTGATTATAGTTTCTTTTTCAATTAAACTGCATTAGCATTCCTCAGTTTTAATAACTGAAAGTCTTTAGGTTAGAAATCTTATATGTCTTTGCAGTAAGAGGTTTAAAAATATGTTTTTACTGTATTACAGTGTTTTGAAAGTATGTTTTTCCCAAACCCCTTGGAGAGACTGATGGGAGGCAATGACTTTTTCCCTCCTGACAAAATGCAAAATTGTACTTCTAAAATTTAATCTATAAATGTAGTAGATGCAAGCTTTCCTCCCACTCCATCCCATACTTTGACACAAACCTGTCCATGGAGTGACCAAATTTAAAAGCATCATTGGAGATATTTAAATCATAATTAAGCTTCCTGTAATTTTAAGCAAGATCGTGAGAACATACATGCAGCAAGCTGGGATTTACAATACAGTATTAACCATATTCATAAAATTCATTATTTTTAATATAAATTCATAGGGCGGGGCATTTTAGATATGTTATTTTAGATGTATGATATATTGATCATTTATTACATGTTAGATATATAATATATTGCTCATATATTCCTCACAACAATTCTATGCAGTAAATACTATTAATACCCCAATTTTACAAATGAGGAAAGTGAAGCATGGATAACTTAATCAAATTTTTTCAGGCTAATGAATGGCAAAGCAAGACTAAATCCCAGTTTGCTGACTCCAAAGCACAATGTCCTAATTACAATCTATGCAACTGCTCAGTGGAACTCATTTTGATGAATGGAATCTAGTTTTTTTCCATAATCAGACAATACTAGAAGTAGCAGAAATGTGAGATGTTTCCAGTATTATAGTAATTATGGAATAGCGTGCCAAAAAAAATCAAAAACTTACTTGCGACTGGTACCTGTGCTGAAGAGCTACTTCATCTCTTACTAGGATCACATTAGAAGGAGTTGACCTGTCACATGGAAAGCCAGCTAGGATCTCTTCTCGTTTGCTGGCAGTGACATTTTGAAACTCCGGGTAATGGTCCACAGATGCAAATTCACTTGCTGCACACTCATAGTAATTGCCTTTCAGCAGGGTCACCGCCAGCCATGTTAATGGTGCAACAAGCGCCCCCCCTGTGATGCTGAATATCCTAAGGCAAGCCAGGCTGCGCTCCAAGGGACTGATGTTCCTGCGGCGGGGGACACAGCTGCAACAGTATTCACTGGTAATCGTCCACATTTGGTTTCTCAGAGCATAGCCAGCAATCAGAAGGATCAAAGCAGGAATGACAAGAAAGGCTGAACCATAATAGAAGTTTTTTCCAACTTGACAGGGACATCTGAAAGTGAATGAAGAGAACAGCTGTTGTCCACCAATAGTCAACACTGCAATCAAAGAGTTGATAAAGGTTCCACTTCTCTGCAGAGAAGAAACAATATTGTTGAGGGTCAGGCTCATCATGGGAAGTACATCCACAAATCAGCTTATGGCCCTTTCTGATCATTAGACTCCACAGCTATAACCATTTTATGGGCTCTTACTGGTTTAACTGGTTATGTCAAGTGACCCAACATACTTACATGTTTAAAGGATTCTAACATCTTTCCTTAGGTACTTTGTGAATCCTGACTTAATAAATACACACCAGATGATAGCTAGAAGAAATGGAAGGTATCTCAATTCTCATTTGGTATGTATAAACTGAGAAAATTTTCAATACATCTTCCTACTAAAAAGAGTAAAAAGAGCATAGCGGGGCTGGGGCTGGGGCTCAGTGGTAGAGCGCTTGCCTAGCATGTGTAAGGCACTGGGTTTGATTCTCAGCACTGCATATAAATAAAATAAAGGTCCATTGACAACTAAACAAACAACAAAAAAAATTAATCTTACTTTAAAAAAAAAGAGCATAGGTTGCTTGTGGAACAGACTGCCTCCATCTCTGTGTGCTGCTTTGTACAACACAAAATGCTGAGCATCAGGAAATAGAGTGCTGGAAGCGAAACAGAGACACTCCTGCCTTTGTACTAGATGAGGGTTCTATCATCATAAAGTTACAATATACAGAATAATGAATATTATCAAATACTAGAACAATCTGAAACTTAGGGTCCATTGGAAATTCCATAACCTAAGGATTCTACCATATCCCCAAAAATTTTCCAAAGAAGAATAAGCCTAGGTACCCCCAAAGCCAAATAACAAGAAAAACATTCTAACTTTGCATAAAGATTTAAAATCTGTTTCTGTTCCCAGAATATTGCTATGTGCTGCCTTAAAAGTTAAGTTGCAAATTTGTTTATGTGGTATCTTTTTCTTATATAAAAAGATTATATTTTATTTTTAATGAACTAGCATATCTGTAACTAATGAAATGATCAAATATGTAAGGTAATTTTATGTTAATTTGATTGGTAAATATTTATTGCGTGGCTCCTATATGAAGGGCCCTGGACTAGGCTTGGTTGGGGTTTTAAATTTTTCTTCTCAAAACTTTCAACTGTACATGGTTAAACATGTAATTAGTCACTTAAAATGCAGAACAGAGAAACTCATCCAAAGTGCAATACGACAATGAAATAAAATAATACAGCTGAGGGAAACAGAAGACAGATTAAGCAACTCACAATCTAGTAGGAATTTCAAAGAGAAAAAAGAAAGGAGAGGCAGAGAAGCAATATTTATGAAAAGAAATAACTAATAGCAAAATCAAAGTCAAGTTTTTACATCATGAGCATGTTGGTTGTTCTGAGCAGAACTAAATCAGATCAATTTACAATTAGACACAGCAAAGAAAAATGCAGAATGTGAAAACAGGAAATATTCTTAATAGCTACAAAAAAAGAAAAGACAGATATCCCACTAAAGATAGACTTCATATCAGTAACAATAGACCCTAGAAGACACTATCTTTAAGGTGCTTAGTACCAGCTAAATTGTCATTTAAGACAGAGCAAAATAAAAATACATAAAGACTAGGAAATTGATCTCCCACAGAACCTCATTGAGGGAATTATGAAAGGATATATTACAGCAAGAAGAAAAATGAACCCTGAGGAAAGACATGGGAGCAAAAATATTGATGAGCACAATAGAATACTTTTTAAAGGTCTCTTTAATTATTAACTATAGAAAACACTATTTTTATTTCTAAAGATATAACTAAGGCAATTATTACATATATTATGTATTATTATAATAAGATATCACTACATATCTACTAAGATGGCTAGAATTTAAGATTAACCATACCAAAGATCAGTAAGAATGCAAAACAACTGGAATTCTCATACACTGATTATGGAATGTCAAGTTGGACAACCTACTTTGAACTACACATTTTCTTTAAAAGTTAACTAGGCACCTATCATATAACACAGACATTTATGTCCTAGTTATTTACACCAGACAAATGAAAGCATATGTCTACATGAAAACTTATCTATGAATGACCATAGCAACTTTCTTTATAGTAGGTATAAATAAAAAATAGTCCAAATGTCCATCACCAAATGTGTGAATCAACAAATTATAATATCCATTTGAGAGAATATTACTAGCAAAATAAAAGGGAAAATTATTTAAATAAGCAAAACATTACTGAATTCAAAAATAATTTTCTGGATGAAATAATTCAGAAAAAGGGATATGTAGTATATGATTCTATTTATATAAATTCAAGGGATTATAAATTAATCTGTATTGACAGAAACCAGACCGATGCCTGCCTAGAAAGTAGGGGAGGAGGGATACGAAGGGAAAAATTACAAAGAGACTTGAGAAAACTTTTCGAGAGTTGTATCAATTTGTACCCACAGAGTTTTAATTTATGAAAGTGACTAAGTAACAACAAAGAGATGCCAACATCAGAGAAAGAAGGATCTTTCTCCCAGACAAGGGGGTATGCAGTGTCATACTAGGTCATATAAGGAAGCAACAGGTTTGGTCAGGAGGCAGAAAGAGGAAGGAAAAGGCTAAGCCAGAGCATTTATTGGGGTTTCTATGGGAAAGGCAGAGCAGGAAGGGCAAACACTTAGGACTGGCTAGTTTAGATAATTCTAGTGGGCTTTTGGCAATAAACTGTCCCTACATGTGTGTGACCTGAACATGAGTTGCTTTAGGGCAGGAAAATATTTCCTTTACTATGTGAGAGTTAGATAAGGAGGTGGTTCAGTACATGGGTTCAGGGTCACAGGGGAGATGTAAACAACTTGGCCATTATTTGACCCTGTAATTAATGGATGCCAAATAGACAACCTAAGTTGTCTATTTAGGGGTGATGGAAATGTTAATTATGCTGATTAATTTGATGAATACATATATATTATGTATATACACATATATATATTCTCATCAAAATGTACAGCAATTATATCTCAATAAAACCATAAAATTCAAGTATGATTCCAAAAAGAATAAATGTAAAATGTATAGGTCATTCAAAAATAAAGGAAATAGAAGGGGGATGTTGATATAAAAGGAGATGGTAAACAAAGGAAAAAGATGATAAAGAGAGAACAAAACAGCAGTAGAAATGAGACCTAATACATGAAAAATCATAATTAAATTTTTAAATAGCTAACACTTACTAGGTGTGCTACATGTTGGGCACTGTTCTAAGAACTTTGTCCCAATGAATTCCCACAGTCACTTAATAATGAGGTTATTATGGTATCCTCAATGTTGTTACAGACTGAGAAAATTAAGTCTGGAGAGATTAAGAAAATTGCTCAGTGTCACACAGAGATGAATGGAGGAACCAACATCAGGAACCAGGTGGTCTGGCACATACTTTTAACCCCCATGCCAGAACTGGCTTCAACTTGCCTATAAAGTGGTAAACAATCTATTCTGCTTACAAGTGACACTCTCAAAATTTTACCACATGTAAAGCTTGAAAAGAAAGGCACTGGACTGTAGATCACTGAGAACAATACTAACAGAAGGTAAAAGTGAACTAAGGCAAATAATGTCAAAAGGGCTAATTATGAATGTTCCATCATAATAAAAGCAACGATCCATTATAAAGATATACCAATGTCAACTTGTATGTCTGTGACTGCGTAACTTTGAAATATATAAAGCAAAAGCTAATTGAACTATAAAGTAACAGTTTTATCATAGAGATTTTTAACATATCTTTATCAGAAATGAATTGATCAAGTAGACACTGGAAAGTATACAAAAAATGCAAAGAATAATCTTAGCAAGTTTTGTCTAAGATATAGGTGTTCAGGTAGAGATATGTAGTATTTCATCCCCCCCCCAAAATAGAAAATAAACATTTTTATAAACTACCCACAAAATAACTAGCAAAATATATTGATTATGTAGAAAATCATAGGGGAAATTCCAGCACTAATGTCCAATAATAAGGAAATAAATTAATACACCATGGTAACAGAATGTATAGAGTGGAGTTTGGCAACTATGGCTTACGGACCAAATTGGCCCACTGTCTGATTTGTATGGTTTATAAGCTAAGAATGGATTTTATATTTTAAAATGGTATAAAAAATTGTAAACTATTTTGTGATATGTGGAACTTATATGAAATTCAAATTTCAGGGTTTATAAATTAAGTTTTATAGAACATAGTCACATGTCTGTTATTTCAGGATAAAGACCACCTTTACATTGCAGCAGCAGTGCCGAGTTCTTGTGACAAAATCTATATGACTGCAAAACTTAAGATTTTTACTCTCTAGTCCTTGACAGACAAGTTTTGCTGATCCCTGCTATAAATCTGTTAATCTACAGTAACAGGCATGGAAATCGATAAACCTTAAATAACTTTAAGAAAAATCCAAGCTGTAGGATACATGTAGTAAGATACTATTATATAAAACTCCAAATACTATTATATATTCTTTATGGATAGTTGCATATCTCAAGTTTAAAAAAATGCATAGAATGATCATCATCAAGCTCTGGATAATGTAACCACTGAAAATGAAAGGAAAATAGAATTAAAGAGGGTGTAGCTGTATCAGTCCTGCTTTATTGCTGAAAATAAAGCCTGAAATATATATAGCAATGTGTTCAGTAAAGTATTAAAAACCACATATTTCCTTAGATTTATAATTTCATATTTAAAAGCCTACCTAATTAGAGTATATGAGAAATGTGGAAGTGGGAAAGGAAATTACAGACCATTCTTTCTGGGAACTATGTAGGAAAGGATGGACCATTGATGGAGTAGATGTCACTATTGGAGTGTCAAATTATTGCTGTAAAGGAGCTCACTGACAACAAATTTGCAAGTTTTTTTATTGTTAGCTATTGAAATAATGACTTCATCTGCAGTGCCAGTGTGTGTGTAACTTGTCAATGGCTGTGATGGATTACATCTATGAGTAATCTATTATCTTTCGGGCTTTGTCTTAGTCCTTTTGTGCTGTTATAAGAAAACATATGAAACTAGATAATTTGTATAAAAACACACACACACAAATTTATATTCCACAGTTTTAGAGGCTGGGAACTCTAAGATTAAGATGACAACATTGATGTCTGATGAGGGTTGCTCAAGGCTTCCAAGATGGCACCTTATTGCTGTGTCCTCATATAGCAGGGGAGCAAAACATAAAAAGGCCTGAGCTAGTTCTGTCCAGCTTTTTTACAAGTCTTTCATTGTTCATGAGGACAAAAGCTTCATGGCTATTAATCAGTTCTCAGAAAGCCTCACCTCTTAATACTACCACAATGGGGATTAAGTTTAAGCCAAGTGCATTTTGAGGGGACATTCAGACCATAGAAATTTATAGCTAAATTGTCTCCTTGTTAAAGATAACTTGCAGCTGTTTGCAACACATAGGTATCAAATGTATATTCCTCAGCATGGACCCACCACCTCATTCACAAGGTACAAGTTGGCACATAGATATGGGATTGTCACCAAACTCTAGGGCTATCCTTAAGGGACAAGTCACACACAGATATTACTGAAATAACACAAGATAAAATAAACACTAAAACCAGCCTTAAATTGAAAGAGTTTGGGGAAAAAATGAGTAATCTATTTTCTTTTGGGCTTAAGAAATAGAAAGAGCTTGAAAAAAAAATGAGTAATCTATTTTCTTTTGGGCTTAAGCCTCTGGACCAGATATTATGGTACCAGGAAATAGCTCTCATCCATCTTCTATTAGCTATTTCCCACCTCTCACCTGCCCAGATACCTCCCAAAGGCCCTGTGTAGAGGTATGGCCAGTTCACCATTTACTTGGATTGGTTCATTACAGTGCACATTTGATGAAACTCAAGAACACTTCTTTGTCTCAGCCCTAGGTCCAAAATCAGTCCTGGCCAGCCTAAAGAACTTCTACTGAGATAAAAAAAACTACCTGTGTATTATTTTGAAATGATTCTCCTTCGTAGTTTATTGCCAGGCTAGATATTACAGATCATTTACCTGCTTCAAATATAAACTTGGAGCTGTCTTCTATTTAAGTAGGGGGTGGCTTTAAATAAAAAGAATGAGCCAGGGACAACAAAACAAAGGTTCCCTCAGATCCTAACAAGTGCTGAAGGTCAGTGGGTTTCACAGTCTGAAAAACAGCAAACCAGTGTACCCAGTGACAATGACTACAGCTGCATTTGTGCAGCTTTGCTTGGTACAAAGTCTCTGGGCTGAAACTAAGTTCTTCTTTCTCTATCCCTGTGTCCCAGGAAGAGGGCTGTTGGGTAGAGAGTAGTCTTGTTAGTCTGGAGGAAGAGCTCGCTTTCTCTAAATTCCTCACAATGTCCTGAATTCCCACAATGGCTCTGATGCAGTCCTACCACAGCCATTAGAGTTTAGTGATTGATTCCAGTATTATCATACCCTCTCTCCGAGCACACAGATCTTTTCTGGTTTTCTCTGTTTCTACACTAAGCCCATCAATGTGTGATAGCTGCACCTTAGTGACTTTGTGAGCCTACCCCGAAAATATTTTGTCCTAACATAATTAGAATATGTGCAATAGGGGAAAAAAACAACAACGCTGTCTTAATTTATAATCAATAAAGTTAGCTCAAATCCCTTTCCCACCCACTATCTAGGCATATTTGAACAAATTTCTAGTCTTTCTACATTTAGATTCCTATTCTACAAAATGGCAATGATTACAGTAGTGACTACATCACAGATTATAGATGAATTAAAACAAGGCAAAGAGAATGAATACCATGTTGTAAATTGTATAGTTTATACAAGTTGTCATTAATCTGCTACTGAAAAGTCCTCCATGCCCCACAACTCAACAAAACTGATTTTCCTGAGATCATGGTATCTAGGCACTAATGGAAATACCATAAATATTATACAATTCCACTCAATAAATTCACCTACAGGAATAACCTATAGTTATTGACTATTAATTTTTACTTAGCGCATTACCGTGTGTTTTATAGCACATATTATCTCTTTGATACTCACAATTATTCTTTGAGGTAGGTATTATTACTGCTATTTTGCAGATGTGAAAACTGAGCCATAGAGCAATAAAGTGGCTTGCCCAAGGCCACACAGCCAGTAATTGTAGAACTGCAATTCAGCCTGAGTCTTTCCAGTCCTCCAAGGTTCTTTCAACTACCTCACACTTCTTCAAAGTATTCACTAGTCTGTTCCTTTATAGCAAGAATATGCCAGAGCTAATAGAACTAATTGTCTCAAACTGTAAAGAGGTAGGAAACTACTTTTCTAAACTGAACTTTATGCTTCTGTTTCTGGAACAGCTTTGATCCTCCACACCCCATAGTTGTCAAGATGAGATTTCTTGTTTGAACTTTAAATATCTTTATTTCTATATAAATAAAGCAAGCTTTCAATAGTTAACATCTTAGGAACTATCAAAAGAAAGCTAAGGGCTTACTTTCTCTGCCAAAATCATCACATACATTATTAAACTATAGAGCACCCATTTTGTGCAACAGTTCTGAAAGAAATTATCACTGATTCAACACTTCTTAAAATGCTGTTGCTGCTTATGAAAAGAAGAAAAAAAGATAAAGGATATATTTGACTATTTGAATATTGTAATCACACAATATGGGGGCCTACGTCCTGAGAACAATGTGATACCCATTTGAGTTGTTGATAAGGTTTGAATGAGGATTTAGTGCCTAAGTATTGCTGATCTTGTCTCTCTAATTCATAGGACAATCAATACAAGACTGAATAATGCTAACATTTAGTTCTCTCTAGATTATAAAGGTTTCTGTTTGTGATTTTAAAACAATGCCTTGGCATGAGAACAAAACACCACTCTTGAACTCCCTAGGGCTAAAGAATTTTTAGTGTCTTGGTGCTTCTGATCTGACTTCACACTATCAACTTTTATGGGTCCAGATTACAACTCATCCTGACCAGTCAAGCAGTTATTTGAGCAGTGGCAAATTACGTAGACACAAGACAGTCCTGTTGTTCATGATTTTTGTTTTCCTCTTGAGTTCAGCAAAGAGCAAAAGCAGTAGAAGGCAGAAGTAGCACTCCTGCCTCAAAGCAAGGAGGAATTTGCAAAACTCAAAACGGAGGAAGAATTATGCACCTCTAAGTTATAGACAAAAGAAAAGAAATTGAAGATCACATTCTTCCTCTACCAAGCACTATGTCTCGCCCTGCACATAGAAGACCGGAATACCAAAAAATTGTAAGATCCTTTTATAAAGGAGCATTATTCTACTTCATAGAAGATGTTTTTTCTGAGCAATTCTTGATTTATTTTGAAAGGTGATGCTACAAGTAGAATTTTTCAGTTGAGCAAAGATTGGGTTTGGTGAAGCGTATCATAAATGACACCTCTGGGAATGGTTACAAATTATCTCTCACTGTAACTGAATAATCGATTCTTTATAGAGATTTTAGGGTCTTCTTTCCTGATTAATTACATCCATAAAAGTGAGGAATTTTCCTCTTGTCTCTGTGAGGAAATACAAAAAGATTAAGCAATTCTTTGTATTTCATATTGCATGAAATAAGAAATTAAATATATATAAAATAGTTAAATTTTATGTGTAAAATCAAATATGAGTAAGATCATCAAAAAAATGTAGGTGTTAAAAGATTACCTTTAAAAATTTATTTCGTAGTCTTAAATGTGTTTATATTTGCTCCGTGTTATTATTCTTTCTATTTTAAATTCAGAGGTTTTTTTTTTAAATTTCATTTTGTACAGATTCAGTTAAGATAATATTCTTTTTTAATCCTCTCTCATAATAGCTTTAGCCATTTAGATGTTATAGATGTGAAAATCATGGTTAAGTTTAAAACTATGTTAATTACTTCAGGAGAATAATGGGCATTTGATGTAATTAAGTAATTTTAGCCTTGGGTACTTTGGGTTGTAGTGAGTAACTGGCACACCCCAATTGGAAATGCATGCAGATTCCCCCTGTCCCTGGCACTCTGGATCTTGATTTCTTTTACTATCAGGTTCTCAAATACCAAAAATTATTGTACATAGTTCATATTGTGTGTGTGTGTGTGTGTGTGTGTGTGTGTGTGTGTGTACCAGTAAAACATTTTTATCCTGATATAGCACAAACCTCTGAAAATAATTAAGTGTTCCATTTTTCACATATGAAAATTGTTGGTTGTTATGGTTTTAAAAACCATAAAAATAAATAAATTTATTTTGACATTTCTTGGGATCTGTGGTGTGGATTTGAGATCCAACTGCACATGTACTTCAAGGTACAGCCTTTGGTCTTGAAACAAGAAAGAGTGTGTGTGGTAGGGAGTTGCCATTTTCTTAGTCTGACCTTAATTATAAATGGGCACAATACTGAGGCTATGGCTTGTAGGTGGGTTATAATATTTTCTCCTTTTCAAATTCTTTTGCTTTATGTCTAGTTGCAAGAAATACATTGTCATCCATGTTCTCTCTCTCTCTCTCTCTCTCTCTCTCTGCATTCTTCATCTTTGATATTTCTATGTTGTAGCATTGGTACATAGCCATATTTTGTTTTATTCTGTGGTTTCTTATATGCTAAGTAGATATAATTGCAGTCATTATTGTAATTTGTGATTAAGTTCATGGAAGATTTAAATAAGAGAATTAAAATTGAATACATGGTGACCCTTAGTGTTATGTTTAACAATATTTTTGTTCATATCACTTGCTTATATCCCTTATATCCTGGTAAAAATATTAACATATTCACTATTTTCCTATACCTGAATTGTATATATTACTGTAATATCAGTAAATATATAACATAATATCAATTAATTATAGGTAACATATATCCTATGTAAATTTATGGTATTTTGGGGGTTTTTTGCATAAGTATGTCATATATGACAAATAATATTTAGATTCTATTTATTTAAATTTTATTTAGTGTTAATAAATATCCTACCTGACTGAAGAAACATGTTTGTCACAATATAAACCCATACGTAAGAGTCTGATGGTATTGAACCAATTTTGGAAGCTTTTGATCAAATTATGTAATATTTACAAAAGTAATTTGTTGAATAAGCAATCTTATTGATAAGTTTCTTAAAGGCATTCCTGCCCATGCTTTAAAAAAAAAAAATCACACAGAGGCCTTCTCTTCTCCTATATATTAGGTTATCCAAGATACCTGGACCTAGAGGTAAGGACACCTCTTCTAATCTGGAATCTACATTTGACTTTTCACACAAATAAAAGATTATGTGCAAAATAGACTTATTTTCAGTAGTGATCCTCCTTCTTACCTCTATCTTCTACCCACCTCTACTCCAAATAGTATCCTCCATCTTTCTCTACCTCAGTGATAAATGCTGCGTCAGAATGGAGGCTTGGAGTCTGACAGGCCTTTCTGGCTCTCACAAATGCAGGCTAGTTGGGCAAGTCATTCGGTTCTTCTGAAGCCTCATTCTCTCCTCTGGAGAAATGGCAGCATTGGAATTAATTATTTCTAAGATACCCTTCCCTTTTTCGGGTAGTACTCAATATTAGAAGCGATTACCAATGGATTCATTGAGCTTTGTTTTCTGTTTCCCATATATTCAACATCTATGCTAAATGATATCTAAATTGGCTTTGGTTTTAGTTTTCACTTGTAATTCACTCTAAAAATGAGACATATTTTGGAAATCTCTAAAGAAAGCACAAGCACCCCGCCCCCCGCCAAACACACACACACACACACACACACACACACACACCCTTTTTTTTTTAAGTAAAAAGAAAGAAAGAAAAAAAAAAACTCACAAATTTGCTGCTCCAGCTGGGTTCACCCTGAATTTCTCGTTGGCAGATCTGCTGCTCATTAAAGATTGTGCAGACTCAGGAGAAATCTCACCCAATTATTTCTTCCAACTGAAAACAGGGTCAGTACAAATCAAAGTTCATTTTAGAACAGTAGGAATTTGTATTAGAAATTAGTGATTAAAAATACTTTATCCATGAAATACATTGCAAGTTATATAATGTAAGCAAAGGCATAGAAAGATATTCTCATGTTAAGAAATTGATTTCACAGGTCTTTCCACAGCACCAGCTAAGTATCCAAATGTAAGTACAGTTTGTTCTAAAAATGAAAAGGGTTGCAATAATAGAAAGATGGGAGAAAATGAACAGATGATCTCTGAGGCTGATTCTAACACCAAGATTTTGTAAAGAAAAGGAAGTAGGTAGGAAGGGGAAAGAAAAGAAAAAAAATACAGTAGTATATTGTTGTAACTTTGCCTATAACATAAAACCATCCCTTTTCCTACAGAACAAAGATCTCTTTGTCCTCACCTATGGAGCTTTGGTTGCCCAACTTTGTAAGGATTATGAAAAAGATGAAGATGTGAACAAATACTTAGATAAAATGTAAGTAGGCATCTTTTATTCTTATAGAATGTTTGTTGTCTCTTAACATCACCTACATTTTTCCTGCCTCTGATGACTTGCTCCATTTCACCAGCTCTTCTTCTGTGTCAATGAATCATATTGGAAAGCTGAATGTAATTTCTTACACTTGCCATTTGGATTGATACCAGAAATTAATGGGAAGGCATTTTTTCTCCATGAATATCAAACGTGGAATGTTTGTTGTTAGAAATTATTTCTTCATTAGCCACTGTAGTGGCAAGACTGAAGTTGCTCTTTTAATAATGTGATAAAGCATCCAATTTGATCTTTTCAGTAGTCTTTTTTTCTAACATTGACTCCTTACAATGTATATATTTACTTGCAGAAGCATAGACCATCTAAGGAAGCATATGCAAAAATGTTATTATAATTGCCTAAAAGAAGACTGGGTGATAGGGAATTATGGGTTGAAGGGAGAATTTCTTTTTCCTATATAACATTTCCATTGTTTGAATGTTTTTGCCCTTACTATAATTTACTTTAAAATATATTTTAAATATAAAAACACACTTCTTAATAAGCCCATTCTCTTTTGTCTTTATTAACAGAGATTCCTCATGCTCAAATTTCACCTTTTAATTTCCTCAGAATAATTATATGATCATCAGATTATTTCCAAACAATGAAATACCTGTCAACATCTTTTTAACCTCTTAATTGTGGGCTCTGAAAAAGGACTGGAAAATATGCACTGGTTAGAAGATTTACTTAGGCAGATTGAAGGGGAAATTTAGCCTAGCATTTTAGGGCTTTCTAAAAGGGCCCGTTGTATTTTCCATTGGAATACAGGGGGGAAAAAAAGAAGAAGAAGAAGGGAAAGCTTGAAATTTTTAAAAAAAAATTAACTCTTGTTCCTCCATATATATATTCTCATTTTTTCTTTTTGGAAAATTCCTTTTCATTTTGGTATACAAGCCTGCCCCCTCCACTCCCCATTTCCCCCCTCTAATTTTTAAAATTTTTTCTGTTTAGTTATATATGACAGTTGAATCTCTCTCTCGTTTCTTTATATTTCTTCTTAATTATTTGGAAGTGTTCAAAAAGCAGCAAACATCCCAATTACCCACAAATGGTCATTGCAGTTTCTTCCTCAGCTGAACTGTCTACAGCTGTGGGAGCTGCTAAAGCTGTTTTTGCCTGTGGTCACACTTCAACATCTGACAGTAGTAGCATTCCCAAAAGTTATCCATTTATTTGACTTACATTACATTTGCATTGTTTTGTGGAGTAGCTGAAGAAAATTAAGAAGCTGATTTAACTAAAAAATACGTTTGGTGAACTAATTGAGTGCACATTTTAACAAATGTGAATGGAATATTAATTAAAAAATAAATTTGGAGAGGCTGTAGGAAGGCTTTATGAAAAAAAAATCACACTTGAATTTCTTTAATAGCTTCTGGGAGTGTCTTATATTTTTAAATTGATTTATAAATATCTACTTTGTAGAATCATTTTCTTTGACCAAAGCAAGACATGCAGTATAATGCCCTGCTCATAACCTCTGGCTTCCCATCGCTGTTCCAGTGGCTAAGTCTATGGCTCTGCATAATGTTAAATAGAAAATACTGGAAATATCTTTTAAAACTAGTTTAACTTTCTTTTAAAGTAAATGTTCTGTTCTTCAAGTATCTTTTCAGTGTGAACACATCCTGGTTAGAATTATAAACCATTTTTTCCTCAGAAGTCTCAAGTAAGCTAAATGGACTATTTCTATCCACTCATAAATATAAATAGAACTTCTCACTAGATTTAGTGCTCACTCTGACGTCAAATCCATCTCCCCCAAGTCACCAATGATCTCATGCTTTTTTTTTTTTTAGATCCTCTGAAACAATCACTACCTCTAAAAACTGTAATGTCTTTAGTTTGTTGGTCCCTCTGCTGCTCCACCCAAATCATTTTACTTGTGTATGTACTTGTGGCTATGAAATTAAAGACTTTTTTCCCCATTAGTTTGACAAAAACAGCATTCCTTTATTTTTCACCCTTAAGGTTCTATTTCTTCAATTGAATTGCAAGTTCTTATATGAAAGAGACTGATTTTTTTTTTTTTTTTGGTGTCCCTTTCAGAAATTTCACAGTTTCAAGGAGTGTGCTTAACCATCTTAGCCACATATTCAGTTGTGTTATCACATATCAATAAAGGCTTTCAGAATTGTACTTCAGGCACTGTCCAAACCACTTACTTGGGGTACCATTAACAGATAACAGTGCCTCCACCCCAAGCTCCATCATTCCAGCTTCTCTAGAAAGAGACATGAGCTTTCTTAATTGGCTATTCTCCTGGCTCACTCACTCACACATACAGTAAAATTCAGAGTCCCAACTGCTAAGACCTTCACTAGCAATGAAAAGTATTTCTCTGATCCTTGTTTTCCACCTGTCAGAGCCTGCCCTCGTAACTGTGCTAAGAGTGAGCACCCAGGGGCCACACCCAAAGCAGACAAGAGGGCTAGAATCTCAGTCTGTTTCTGTTGGTAGGTAACATTAGGCTACAGATACCATCGCTGTTCCAGTGGCTAAGTCTATGGCTCTGCATAATGATAAATAGAAAATACTGGAAATATCTTTTAATACTAGTTTAACTTTCTTTTAAAGTCTTGATATGGTGCCCTAAGCTTTTCTCAACTGCCACTGTCAAGTTTTCCAGTCTCACTCTAGTCAGGTCCTATGCTTAGAGGAGACTAGTTAATATTTCCTGGATCTGTTGCTCTTTGCTTCTGTGGGATAGATACAAAGCCCACTGTCAAAGGCCATTTGACTCATTATATTTGGTTTATTTGTTATCCACGTGTGCAGACCACACTCCTTCCTTCATCCACAGGGGCTATGGCATTGGAACACGGCTGATTGAAGACTTTTTAGCTCGATCCTGTGTGAGAAGATGCCATAGTTATTCAGAAATTACGGACATAATTGCCCAGGTAAATGCATTTTTATCTCTGTCATGTTTTGAGAATCTTTGGGGTTTTTTTCTGAGTTTTCTGCTTGGATTGGACAGGTTCCATCTGTATACATTGCTAGGTGCTGAGAAAGGGGATTCTGATTAAAAAGCATTTTATTTCAGCACAAAGATAAAGCTATTGAAAACTGAAAGAGAAATTCTTCCAGGCATTTAAGCATCTATAGATTTTCCTGACTACAGGGCGTGTGTGGAGTGTGTGTCTCAGGCTGGAAAAAAAAATGTTTTGAGAAGGTAAAGAGAAGAATGTAACAGGGAATTTTGTTATGTGCATGACCACATCTAGTTTCCTTCTGTTGTCATTTTCAGCACATGTAAGAGATAGTGTTTGGCAATGTCAGAGAAAATTGCTGTAGTCATTTCCCAAGAGAAAAATAAAACTTCCTGTAAATGCATATTTTCTAACATCTTTCACAGCCTTGATGTGTGGGAGACAACTTGGAATCATCCAATACTAGCTCAATTTAATTTTTTTTTTAACCAGGGATTGATTGAGCTCAAGAATTCTCAACCAAGGAGCCATATCCTCAACACCTCCCCCCCTTAAATTTGTTTTAAATTTTGAGACAGGGTCTTGCTAAGTTGCTTAGCTCTCACCAAATTGTTAAGGCTGGCTTTGAACTTGCAATCCTCTTGCCTCAGCCTCCCAAGCCACTGAGATTATGGGGTATGCTACGTGCCCAGCACTAACTTAACTTTCTTAGATAAAAGACTGTGAAATGCATCTGCAGCCAGCATTTATTTAATCCACAGACCTGTGGTTAATGTTATTAATTTGTTGGAGACCCAGAAATTGTGCATGGATATGAAATATTTAAGAAGTCTTGATATGGTGCCCCAAGGTTCACACAATGTCAAATTAGCTCAAGTCTTATTTTTTTTTCTTGACCCTTAGTATTGTTTACATGGCACACTTCCCACAAATGGTTTTAATACTACCATATAGTGCTCTGTGGTTCTAAATGCAGTTACTTAATTTCTTTCATCCTAATAGTAGTTCTGTGAAATAGACAGAATAGGAGTTATTATCCCCATTTTCCAGATAAGAAAACTGGGTCCCAGGAAGCATCTGATGAAATTGAATGATAGTGTATATGAAAAAAATTGTACATTTGAGGCACAATCCAAATGAAAGTTTTTTCTATTTATTGATATTGTTACTTATTACTTCATGATTAGTGAATCATGTGACTGAAATTGGAATCCAACTTTAGCACAGTGAATTTACTACATCATTAAGCAGATTTTTTTAAAAAGTTATTTTCCATATGTATTGGCAGAATATAAATAAACTCCTAAAACAGTGGTTTAGTTTTTCACTAAAATGATTTTATGGGCAATAACCAAGAATGCTAGCTAGCCATTTTAATGGGAAATAAATACAGTAGTTGAAATATAGACATGAAATGTCGGTGTTTGCTGTATTTCTGTTTTTCTAGTTAGTGCCCTCTCTCTTGGCCTTTTGACTAGTAAGGCACCTTCTTTCTGTAATGATGATGGTCAGATTGCTTTGAGAATGACACCCCTTTAATATTTGCCTAAATTCATCCCATTGGTTGATAATTTGAAAAATCATATAATGTGGAACATAAAACCTGATTCTTACATTTAAAGTTGTTTGCCAGGCTTTGGTATCTGAAAAAGAAAATAATTTCCAAGGCTGAAATAAGACTCCATTCTAAAATTATGCTAGCATAACCAGTCCAAGTTTTAATTTTTTCCTCAGGATATGTTTATATATGTATATATTTTCCATTTAGCGGTATCTTATGTTTAAAATGAGATGATTAGAGATGAGTTTAAAAATCTGTTGAGTAAAGAACAATATCTACTGGACATGGAGGCATATACAGCCTCATTCCTGAGAACCTGGAACTATTTTCTGTCATGCAATGGAAGATCAGAACTCATCTGAAATGTGCTCAATACTGTAAATGCTCTTACCAGGAGAATCTTGGCTGCTGGTCTAACTGAGCAGCAGTTAGAGTAGTGTGCTGATGGGGGAAGGTGCTGTAGTTCCCTCTTATGGTTTTTCTTGGCTCTGACTACAGAGGCCAAGTCAGTGAAAGGCTTCTGTGGACTCTAAAGGAATAATTCCATGTATCCATTTTAATCAGAGAAACGTTAAGAAAACTAGGCTTCTCTAGCAAGTGGGGATGGGGAGTTGGGTGGGGTGGGGAGAGTCAGTATAAGAAATAACTTTTTTACCAGTATTATCTTTTTCAAAATAGCTGCTAACAAATATCCCATAAAAGTTATTCCCAGAGGTAGCTAAGAAGATGAGAAGTCTCACATGGAACTTTCTTATTACCTGTGGTCCTCTACCAACAGACCCTGATGTGTGGGAGACAACTTGGAATCATTCAATACTAGACCCTGTTCATCTCAGGAAAAGCACAAAGCTGAGAATCAAAGTAATTAAGCCAATAAGAAATATGATACCTGTTTATTTAGGGCCTTACCCAGGAATTGTTACTTGGTAATAATCAGTAGAAATTAGTTAGAGAAAAAGAAAAGAAGAAGGGCAAAAAAGATAAGAGGAAGGAAAGATGATGAGAGGTAAAAGGAAGAAGAGGGAAGAAAGAATGAAAGCTCTCTTTGGTTCAGGCCCCTTGGGAAGAGAGCTTTTCTTCAGCAGGAATGTTCCTTAGCTGCCCACCACACTTAAGGGCTCCTTGAGTCCCTTTCATGAGGAACCATGCATTTCACCTAACAACGAAGTCTTCAGTGTGCAGAAATTAAATCCCATTCTGCGTACCAAAGTAAAGGAAAAAAAAAAAAAAAAACGGCTAAAGATGAGCCTAGTGAGAAAGAGAGAAAAAGGATTCCTATCTCAGCCAAAAAGAAAAAAAAAAAATTCCCACAGAGTGCCTCCTATTTTATAAAGCATACTCTGCCTTTAAAAAAAGTAAAGCAGTTTCTAAATATATCTGACCTCCCAACAGTGGGCCTAATTTTCATCAGGTTAGAAGCGATTCTACTTGATATAAAACCAGAAACATGTGCATCTGCTTTCCAAATATCCTTTCCCTAAACTTTTCATGTCTTTCCAACCATTCTGACATCTTGCAAATTTTTGTCTGACATCTTCTGTTCTCAGTGAGCTGGGAAAATTCCCTTTGCACTCCCATGCAAGATTCTCTCTGGGCAGTAAAAAATTTCATTACCTTCATCCTTCTCGTGTGCATAGCAATTGTCTCATACTCTTTGAAGACCTGATTTTTTTCCCCTTTTGATTTTTACTTCTCCAGAAAAATGTTCTTTTATATCTGGTGATGATGTCACCCATTCCAGGAGCATTTTGACAGAGATGAAGGGTCAGACTTTAGTTATGTACTCACCCACCGGTGCTTTGCTTATAATTAGCAGCTTCCATTAAAAGATCTGGCCTTCGGCATCATTATCTCATTAATCCTTGTGAACTCTCCTCAGAGGAGGCAGGTAGCAAATATAACTTCGTCAGTTTTATAGAGAACTAGGTCAAAGTCAGAGGAAGCATAGTCACGTGTTGCCCTCACATTGTGGTGGAGTCAGGAGTAGAACCCAATGGCTGTGCCTTCTTCGTGGTTGCCTTGTTAGACCATATGTTGTAGAGTACATCAGTACTGAGCACCTAAATACCATATGCTCTCTCCTGGTTCTAGAGAAGAAAAGAGAGGAGAATACATTTGAATAGACTTGACTAGATGAAGAAACCCATGTTCTGCCTAGGGAAGCAATTCCTCTGATTTAGTTAGCGAGAGCCTGCCGGTAGGCCAGATCTTTGAACTTTCACTCCACTCTGCAACCCTCTGCCTTCCCACCAGGAGGACTGTGTAACTTCAGATACTAATAACATTACCCGCTCTCTTGTTTTTCTCACTTTGCCTTTTTCAAAAGGGATGTCTTTATCAGTAGGAATCTGGCAAAGTCTTTTAATGTTAGGCCTCAAATTTCATCATCCAGTGGTCTGAAAAGAAATTTCATGAAAGAGTCCAAACAGTTGATCAAAAAAATTAAAAAAAAAAAAAGAAAGAAAAGAAAAAATATTTTGTAGGCCTTACAGGACTCATATTTTGCATATGAAAAGAGATGACAAACTAACTCTAAATTCTACTTTGTAAAAAATTAAAATGGATCCTTAAAACATGATTTTGTCAAATACTAGTTTGCAATTTTTGATCACATTCAAGTACACCTGAAAATATTAAATAAGATATAATAATAGCTCTCCATATCCATGGGTTCCACAAATCAAAAAAATTTTGAAAAAAGTTGCACATGTGCTGAACACATAAGGAATTTTTTCTTGTCATTATTCCTTAAACAATACAGTATCACAAATATTTATGTAGCATTGACATCATATAATGTATCAAGAGAAATCTAGATGTGATTTAAAGTATACAAGAGAACTGCACAGGTTATATGCATGTGCTATGCCGTTTTGTATAGGGAATTGAGCATACACAGATCTTGGTACCCAAGGGAGGGGAGGGAAGGCAGGGGTTCCTAGAACCAATGTCTTGCAGATACTGAAGGATGGCTATGATTTCTAAATGTTGTAGCAGCATTTAGCAACATAATATTGAAAACCTCTCATAATGCAGAGGATTTATTCATGAAAGTTCACAATAATTCCTACCTATCACCTATATTCACCTTACAAGAACCTTGTGAAGTTAAAAAAAACTATCATTAGCCCCATTTTATTGATAATAAAATTATTACTGATATCTATATCAGTAATAATTATATATTACTGACAGTGTAATAGAGACTTATGATATTACCAAAGATACATAAGAAAAGCACTCCCCAAGAATTTAATTCACCTGATCTTATTTCAGTGCTTTTTTTTCACAAATTCATTGTTCAAATATACATTTGAAATTTGCCCTGAGCAAAATTTTGTAGTTTTTCCAAATAAAATATGTAATTTGTGGCAGAATTATTGTAGCTGATTTAAGTTGTAGTCATGAA